ATAAATTTCTGAACTCTGAGCAATTTCCAAATTTAAAGAAATTTGCTTGTAAATTTATCTCCATTTTTGGGACGACGTATCTGTGTGAACAAACTTTTTCCCAGATGAAGTACATCAAGTCGAAATACAGGGCAAATTTATCCGATGAATATTTAAAGTCGCTACTTGTGATTAGCGTTTCAAAATTTGAACCTCAATTTAATCAGATGTTAAGAATGCAAAAAGAGTTCCATCATTCACATTAATTGTTTCATTATAATTTGTGATGAAAATATGAGCATTTGCTGCTACTGTCTCTTGTCATTAATATACGATAATTTATTCTCACGTACTTTGTATTTAGTTTATGAAATTCTGTGCTTTCAATAAAACTCATATACCTAGAGTTATTAATTTCTCATTTTATCCGGCCCGTTGAAAGTGCAGAATTACCTAATGTGGCCGGCGGTTAGAAAAGTTTGGAGACCCCTGGTTTAAGGTGACCTCCATTTTCATTTCCATAACACACGTCACTGCAGAACAGGAAGTAACCTACAACGATTCTTTGGCTTCCCACCGCGGCGGCCCGGGTTCGATCCCGGGTCTGGTCAAGTGGGATTTGTGGTGGAAAAAGTGGCGCTGGGGCGGGTTTTCTCCGAGGACTTCGGTTTCCCCTGCCAATCTTCATTCCACCAAATTCTCCATCATCATAATCACACGGGCAGGTACAATAGGCCAATCAGTGGCCGCCGTGCCGAGCGGACCCAGCTGGACTCCACCCCCCCACTAAGTGAATAAAAAAAAAACTACAACGATATGAATACTTTACGAAAAATCTACGTTGTTTATAAGTTTAAAATTGCTTTCCATTATTATTTATTTTTCAGCCGTGGTCTGATGACTTCCAGACTGCTGCAAGTAGCACTTCACTATCACCAGTTGGTATGCAGACCCCTCTGCCTTCTACTGAAACAAGCGGAGACAGGTCTACATGGCTGAGGGGAATACCTTTTCCCACTGCAACGGCAGTTCCACCTTTTCTTCCTGGGGGGCGGTCATTACTATATAAGTGATAATTTGGGATAAAGAACCTCCCATGGGGATTGAGATGTGTCTCTGAGAGAAGAGCCGTATCTATATGTAAAAGGGCCCATACACGTACCAGTCTGGCTCGCGAGTCCGGCTCGGCGAGCTTGACTCGGGAGCCGGGCTCGGATTAATTTCACCATAAACGTATGAGCTGACTCCCAACTTTGCGACCCACACACGGACGAGTTTGGCACACTGGAACCCGAGCCGAGTCAAACTAGCGAGCCAGACTCGTACGTGTATGGACCCCTTTAGTCTTACAGGTGCTTACTGAGCTCATAAGGCCACCTCCAAAAGCCATTTGCATTAAATGCTATAGGCCAATGACTTATAACGAAAAGAATTGTAAAACAATTGCACTTACATATTTACCCCTTGATTTTAAGAACATCTGGATTAATCTGGCTCAGGATAGGGTCCAGTGGAAGGCCCTTGTGAACAAGTAGATGTATATTCTGAGCATTTTGAAGCTGGGGAATTTATTAATTTGGTGAGAGTGCTCTCCGTCCTCTTACTTCAACAAATCACACAGGATGGAAAAGCAGTGTTCTTTCATTCGTACTGCGAGAAAGACTTCCACAGCTTGGGAGCAACGCAACAAAGAACAAGAATTTCATCCTCTTCTTATTTCTAGCTCTAGGTAAGGTAAAGAAAAAGCTATCCCTGTAACAGGCCGTGGAGGCCCATAAGTTTGTGAGACGTCGAGGCTCCCACATTTTCTAGACAATCGATTCACAGATGATGGTGAGTTTGTCAGCCTTAGGCGCCGGCCTCCTTTTACCCTCCAGGAAGAATCCTGGTACTCAGTTCTGTCAGAGGCTAAGTCGACCTCAGGACCATATTATGGCTGGAAGGATTAGATCAATTTTAAAATCCAATGACCTCATCTGGAATTGAACCCGCAATTTTCTGGGTAGAAAATGTGGGAGCTTCGACGTCTCACAACCCTATGGGCCTCCACGGCCTGTTACAGGTTATGTACTGCGCATATTATTCTGAAAATACTCTATTAATATGAGGCTGAGAACGCTCAAGTAGGTCAGAAGGAGAAGCGAGGGTGGAATTTGCTATTCCTGCAAGCAACCCCGTTAAGATACCGTTCACTCAGAAGTTATATAGAAAGGGTATTTCGGGCTGTTCATATTAGTGCACCCGCTACCATCAAGACAAAACGTTGAAGCCAGGCGAAACATCAAGACTAAGGGTAAGGTTTCCAATTATTATACTATTTCACTATATCAAGTAGTACTGTATAGTCCTTAGAAACCAGTAAGTCACAGTGTTAGATGGTCAGTCACTTAGTTTATAAGAGAAACAATCAGTGATGTGTTGAACTTCTGGGTTATATTGTCATGTACTCGTAGTTCGGAGAAAACTATATTTTTCGGAGGAGCATACAGCCTCCATTGGGGGTACGCTGTAGCGTAGTTGGTTCGAGCACTATGATACAAGCAGGAAGGTCGCGGGTTCGATTCCCGATGAAGTCATTGGATTTTCTCAATTGGCCTCATTCTTCCAGCCGCACTATGGCCCTGGAGTCGACTCAGTCTCTAACAGAAATGAGTATCAGGAATCTTCCTGGGGGTAAAGGGCGGCCGGCGCTTTAGGCTGACAACCTCACCTCCATCTCTGAGCCGAATATCAAGATAATGTAGGAGCCTCGACGTCTCACAACCCTATGGTCCTCCACGGCCTGTTACAGGGATAGCTTTACCTTATATAGCTTCCATCTTCAGGGTCAAAAACGAAGCCTAGCAAGAAGCTGGCTTACTCCTCGACCGTGCAGATAGTGGCGATATTTTCTTCCAAAACTTCGTGCTTTCTCCTAGCTACACAACGTTATAACCCAGAAGACCGTAATGTTTTGGGACATGGCTGTGAGAACATAAAATACAACAGCCAATAATTTAGCTACTGAAATAAAATGCCCCATTCTCCGTTTCATGAATGATTTCAGCATGGCGCTACTCATGTTATGGACAGCAATTCCTGCTTTGATGTTTGGTGTCGTGATGTGTGAAGCCCCGCGCTCGTATCCGGCCTCGGGCGTGCCATTCAACTCTATCGCGACCGCCCCTATCAAACCATACGTGCAACAGTACGCCGAGCCTTACAGGGAACCCCCGAGTTACGGCGTGCAGACCGGCTACGAGGGATACCTCATTCCAGCGCCTCTACCGGAGGCAACGGATTCTGAAGGAGGAGGTTTCTTAAGTAAGAGATAAATTGGGAACCATAATTACATTTGATATTATCGGGGACAATGGAACCCGGATAGCGCAGTCGATATAGCGACTGACTACGGGCTGGACGACCAAGGGTTCTGGGTTCGAGTCCCGGTAGGGTAAAGGGTTATGTTTTCTCCACGTCGTCCAGACAGGCTCTGGGGCCCACGCAGCCTCCTATCCAATGGGTACCGGGGGGGTCTTTCCCTAGGGTAAAGCGGCTGAGGCGTGAAGCTTACCACTAACCTCCAGCTAGTGCCGAGGTCAAGAAAACTTGGGTTTATATATCTACTTCCCCATACGCCTTCATGGCGTAGTGCTTATTTAGTTAAGCATTGGGACAACTTTGCCTTTACTTTTATTATCAAGGAAATAATAGAGAAGGCCATAGAAAATTTCTAGCGTATCCCATAAACAAGCGCACAGGTTTTGGTTCAGTTAGACGTGGGAGACTTACACTAATCAACATAAGCCAGATCAGTAAAGAAGGACACTAATGTTGTGCACTGCACTGCGGAGTGCCGCGCGGTCTAAGGCATGAACTGTCTTCGCTCGCTCAAACACTGGGTTGGTGGGTTCGAATCCCACTCAAGACATGTCTGTGTCCGTTTATTCTGTGTGTAGGTAGTGACCTAGCGAGGGCTAATCTCCTGCCCAAGGAGCCCTACCGACTGTGTAGAGGATTAAGAGACTGAAAAAGCGACCACAGTCCAACAAAGGACTGTAGAGCCGTAGCAATATGGACGTTACTGAATACGCCCTTTCCAATCGTGTTCTGCGCTGTGCTGATAGGAATGTACTGTTTGGGAATGGTTGTTGAATGTTGTACAAAGCGTCAAATTGGGCGTTTATAATTGTCACCCATGAGCTATAATTAAAGTACAGTAGAACTTGGTTATAACGTCATCAAAGGGACCTAAAAATAGTGTCGTTATAAACGAATGTCGTTGTAACCGAAATGGGCACTTCCGCAGTAGCCTTATGTTAGTCACATAAAAATCTACCAAAAACCGAGTTAAAATGTTGCATTTTTTTTTTAGTGAAATACGTAGTTAAGTACAGACTAACGTAACATTAACGTGGAATTGCCCAAATGTGTAATATCAAAGACATATTACAGCGCTTTTCACTGACAATACACACCGCACTAATACTGTATATTAAAGGTAGGCCTACTCACCAAATTACAGTAGATTACATCAATTGTTGTGCCTTACTGTACCTAGATACGAGTACAG